TTTTAGCAAACAGTGAAAGGAAACACCCGAAAACCAAATTATGCCTGCTTGTCTATTGCTTCCTCCTTGCCACTTCTTTTCCTTTTGTATGCTTGCCAACCCCTTTCTTGGTTTATTTGCATATTCGAATGCTTCGGTTTCACATGGTCCCCCTCCAGTTCGCTCACTTGGAATGCAGAAAACCTTTGTTTACGCTCTAGGGCTGTCCAAACACGGAAAAATTTTGTTTCTAAACTCGATTCGTTTTTAGGTTTTTTTTTGCGTTTCGTTATTTAAAAGAATTCCGAAATTTTCCTTTAAAAAAGTTCGATATTTACGAAATTTCGGAAATCAAAAACCAATTACGAAACAATTACGAATCGATTACGAATCGATTCGTTAATGGCGGCCGCGATCGCGCAATACGCTAAAAAAACTTCTGAAGCTTCCCTCTCCCTCTGTTGTTGACTGTTGGTGTGATAATTATTATTTTTTTCACTGAGAAAACAAACAGCAACCCTAAAACTTGCACCAGACATGCGGAAATAATAACGAAACATTTACGAATCAATAACGAAACAATTACGAAACGAATTGGAAAAATTCGTTTCGTTTTTTAGTTGCTCCTGAATGGTTCAATATCGCTTCGTTATAAAAAAAATAACAAATTTTTAACGAATTACGAAATTACGAAACGAAACCGCCCAGCCCTATTATGCTCAGCGCCCTTGCCCAGGGAGCACTGGTTTTGTCAAGGCTGTGGATAGTGAGATCCAAGCCACTTTGGGTTTAGTCTGGTGAGAAAAAGAAGTATTCCAGAATAAATCTCACCAAGTTGAAGCTCCGAGGTATTTATTTCTGTTCCAGCTGGAAAAGGATGACGGCTGCAGTATTCTGCTAAAGAAGCCGGCATGTCCCAATGCAGAAAACTAGACAATATATACAGATTTTCTGATTCAAATTTCCCATGCCCACCCCCTGAGCCAGCTTCAGAGTGCTCTTTGATTGTAGGTGAACTATAAATCCCAGCAACTACGACTCCCAAATGTCAAGATTCTATTTTCCCCAAACTCCACCAGTGTTCACATTTGGGCATATTGAGTGTTTGTGCCAAATTTGGTCCAGATCCATCATTGTTTGATTCCACAGTGCTCTCTGGATGTAGGTGAACTACAACTCCCAAACTCAAGGTCAATGTCCACTAAACCCTTCCAGTATTTTATGTTGGGCATGGGAGCTCTATTTATTTATTTACTTCATTTGTATACTGCTATTCTCAGCCCTTAGGCGACTCATAGCGGTTAATATGCTCTATATGCCAAGTTTGGTTCAATTCCATTGTTAGTGGAGTTCAGAATGCTCTTTGATTGTAGGTGAACTATAAATCCCAGCAACTACAACTCCCACATATCAAGTCTATTTTCCCCAAATTTCACCAGTGTTGACATGTGGGCATAGTTTGGTCCAGATCCGTCATTGTTTGAGTCCACAGTGCTCTCTGGAAGTGGGTGAACTACAACTCCCAAACTGAAAGTCAATGCCCACCAAACCCTTCCGGTGTTCTCTGTTGGTCATGGGAGTTCTGTGTGCCAGGTTTGGTTCAATTCCATTGCTGGTAGAGTTCAGAATGCTCTTTGATTGTAGGTGAACTATAAATCCCAGCAACTACAACTCCCACATATCAAGTCTATTTTCCCCAAATTTCACCAGTGTTGACATGTGGGCATAGTTTGGTCCAGATCCATCACTGTTTGAGTCCACAGTGCTCTCTGGATGTAGGTAAACTACAATTCCCAAACTCAAGGACAATGCCCACCAAACCCTTCTGGTGTTTTCTGTTGGTATGGCCTGTTTGGTTCAATTCTATCATGCTATTTGATTGTAGGTGAACTATAAATCCCAGTAAGTACAACTCCCAAATGTCAAGGTCTATTTCCCCCAAACTCCATCTGTGTTCATATTTGGCCATATGGAATATTCGTGCCAGTCATGGGAGTTCTGTGTGCCCTGTTTGGTTCAATTCCATCATTGGTGGAGTTCAGAATGCTCTTTGATTGTAGGTGAACTATAAATTCCAGCAACCAAAATCAACCCCACCCCCCCAACCCACCAGTAGCAACAAAAATAATTCTATGGTTGGGGGTCACCACAGCATGAGGAACTGTATTAATGGGTCGCATTAGGAAGGTTGAGAACCACTGGCCTATAGGAAACATACTGGTGTGTTCCTATACACAGATTGGAAAGCTCTGCTTCCATAAAGGGAAGTGCAACTCTTCTAGAGAAGTCATGCTCCCCATGCTCTATTCTGCTTTGGTTAGACCACACCTGGAATATTGTGTCCAATTCTGGGCACCACAATTCAAGAGAGATATTGACAAGCTGGAATGTGTCCAGAGGAGGGCGACTAAAATGATCAAGGGTCTGGAGAACAAGCCCTATGAGGAGCGGCTTAAGGAGCTGGGCATGTTTAGCCTGAAGAAGAGAAGGCTGAGAGGAGACATGATAGCCATATATAAATATGTGAGAGGAAGCCACAGGGAGGAGGGAGCAAGCTTGTTTTCTGCTTCCTTGGAGACTAGGACGCGGAACAATGGCTTCAAACTACAAGAGAGGAGATTCCATCTGAACATGAGGAAGACTGTGAGAGCCGTTCAGCAGTGGAACTCTCTGCCCGGAGTGTGGTGGAGGCTCCTTCTTTGGAAGCTTTTAAACAGAGGCTGGATGGCCATCTGTCAGGGGTGATTTGAATGCAATATTCCTGCTTCTTGGCAGAATGGGGTTGGACTGGATGATGGCCCAGAGGTCTCTTCCAACTCTTTGATTCTAGGATTTGGAAGTAAGATTGTGGTGTGAGGTTAGTTTGCGGTTACTTTGACAAACAGTATCAACACTTGGCTGAATCTTTCTGGAGAAAAGTGTGGTCGGTCAAAGCAAAGGGACAAAAAAGTGACCACAAAATGATAAGCAAAGAGATGTGCTTCCTGCTCAAGCATGGGAACTCCCCTCCCTCGGCTAGATTGTATAACTTTGCACGCCTTCTTAGGAGCTGTGTGCATCCTGCAAGGTGTAGTCCAGAGGTCTTTAAAAGGTGCTGCAGAGAAAGCGATAGGCATCGTGCTGGGCTTCCTCGGAGCCTTCCATTTCTAAGATCACATCTTCCATTTTTTCTCTTGTGAGTATTCCTTCTTTGACATTAAGCCTCGGATCTTTCTAACTCTCTCTCTCTTTCTCTGGAAGGAAGCCAAGCTTCATGTTTTCTGCTATAATCCAAACTTTAGATAGTTGGTTAAGTCATTAGTAAGCAAGGAAGGAGTTGGGTTGTTGTAGGTTTTTTACGGGCTATATGGCCATGTTCTAGAGGCATTCTCTCCTGACATTTCGCCTGCATCTATGGCAAGCATCCTCAGAGGTAGTGAGGTCTGTTGGAACTAGGAAAAAGGGTTTATATATCTGTGGAATGACCAGGGTGAGACAAAGGACTCTTGTCTGTTGGAGCTAGGTGTGAATGTTTCAACTGACCACCTTGATTAGCATTTGATTGCCTGGCAGTGCCTGGAGCAATCTTTTGTTGAGAGGTGATTAGATGTCCTTGTTTGTTTCCTCTCTGTTGTTGTGCTGTTCTAATTTTAGAGATTTTTTTTTAATACTGGTAGCCAGATTTTGTTCATTTTCATGGTCTCTTCCTTTCTGTTGAAATTGTCCACATGCTTGTGGATTTCAATGGCTTCTCTGTGTAGTCTGACATGGTGGTTGTTAGAGTGGTCCAGCATTTCTGTGTTCTCAAATAAAATGCTGTGTCCAGGTTGGTTCATCAGGTGCTTTGCTATGGCTGACTTCTCTGGTTGACGTAGTCTGCAGTGCCTTTCATGTACCTAATCATCTTATCACCTCTCAACAAAAGTTTGCTCCAGGCACTGTCAGGCCATTATATGCTAATCAAGGTGGTCAGTTGAAACATTCACACCTAGCTCCAGCAGACAAGAGTCCTTTGTCCCACCCTGGTCATTCCACAGATATATAAAGCCCATTTTCCTAGTTCCAACAGACCTCACTACCTCTGAGGATGCTTGCCATAGATGCAGGCGAAATGTCAGGAGAGAATGCCTCTAGAACATGGCCAGATAGCCCAAAAAACCCTACAACAACCCAATAGAAGGTGTTGTTCTTATTTATTTTGCCCTAGCCATCCCATGCCATGTGTTGCCGTGGCCCTGTCTGTGTCTATGTGTTTTGTGTGAGTGTATATATGTATATATTGGTGTATATTCCTCTGAAGTTCAACAGCAAACTGAAGGGACCTTTTGTCTAGGTGTGCCTACATATGTGTGTGTGTGTGTGGTTTTGTGCATGTGCATGTGTTTTCTGTTTTCTATTTTCTGTTGTTCATCTGGGTTCTGTGTGGGAAGTTAGGTCCAATTCTATCATTGGTGGGGTTCAGAATGTTCAGCAGTGGAACTCTCTGACCTGGAGTGTGGTGGAGGCATGATAGCCATGTATAAATATGTGAGAGGAAGCCATAGGGAGGAGGGAGCAAGCTTGTTTTCTGCTTCCTTGGAGACTAGGATGCAATGGAACAATGGCTTCAAACTACAAGAGAGCAGATTCCACCTGAACATGAGAAAGAACTTCCTGACTGTGAGAGCCATTTAGCAGTGGAACTCTCTGCCCCGGAGTGTGGTGGAGGCTCCTTCTTTGGAGGCTTTTAAACAGAGGCTGGATGGCCATCTGTTGGGGGTGCTTTGAATGCAAATTTCCTGCTTCTTGTCAGAATGGGGTTGAACTGGATGGTCCACCAGGTCTCTTCCAGCTCTAAACGTTGGAAAAACGCCATTATAGCTGGATGCAGACAACGTAAAAACCTAGAAATATCTCAGAGGCCCTCTCCTTTGGCTTTCTGGGTCCCCTTCCCAGCATTTTATTGCTTTTCCATCTGCTTCTGTTGGGGGGGGGGGTGTCAGACCCACCCTGGGCCCCAATCCTGACACATTCTGATGTCCACCTCTGCTTCCCTTTTGCAGGATGTTTGCCGTCTGGATCAGGCTCCTGGGGCTGGCTCTGCTGGCTGGACATGGAGAGGGACAGAGCTGTGGGGTGAATGGATATGGTAAGGACTGGAGGTAGTCTGGGAAACGAGGGAGGGCAGAGGCATTTCCATGGGCTTGTCCATCCTTAAAACCATAGGTGTATCTTCCACACAACTTTGTTCATTCGTTCAGTCGTCTCCGACTCTTCGTGACCTCATGGACCAGCCCACACCAGATCTCCCTGTCAGCCGTCACCACCCCCAGCTCCTTCAAGGTCAGTCCAGTCACTTCAAGGATGCCATCCATCCATCTTGCCCTTGGTCGGCCCCTCTTCCTTTTGCCTTCCACTTTCCCCAGCATCTTCTCTAGGCTTTGCTGTCTCCTCATGATGTGGCCAAAGGACTTCAGCTTTGTCTCTAGTCTCCTTCCCTCCAGTGAGCAGTCGGGCTTTCTTTCCTGGAGGATGGACTGGTTGGATCTTCTCGCAGTCCAAGGCACTCTCAGAACTTTCCTCCAACACCACAGCTCAAAAGCCTCTCTCTTCCTTGGCTCAGCCTTCCCTAAGGTCCAGCTCTCACATCCGCAGGTTACTACAGGGAATACCATGGCTTGGACTAGGCAATGGATCTTTGTTGCCAGAGTGATAGTCAACATAGTCAACATAGCAATATAAAATTACAATAAACACAATCACAATAACATGGGTGAGCTACATGTAATGGATAAAAGAAAACTGGGTAGTTTTTGACAGGCCTCCATAGGAGAGATCCAGGCAGAAACTGAACTCCTGTGGACCCTCCAAATGCCCTTTGCCTAGGGCATATCTTCACTGATCCAGAGATAACCACAGGATCAGCATCTCCACAACTAGTGGTCTCCCCTCCCCTTCATGGAAGCCTATTGAGTGTTCTTCCTCTGGCCCACCATCTTGCTGTACTTCTCCTCATTTTGTCTTTTCATCCTTATGTCTCTCCAGGTCCTAACCTGGCCAGAGGTCGCCCGACATACCAGTCCTCTATATACCTAGAACACGGGCCAGACCTCCTGTCAGGGAAAGCTGTGGATGGGATCTGCCAAGGGGACGTGAACGCCCACCGCTCCTGCACCCACACGAACGAGGATTTGGAGCCCTGGTGGTATGTGGACCTGGGAAGGCAGTTCCCCATCGATGTGGTGATCGTGAAAAACCGTGGGGACTGCTGTGACGCGAGGCTGCGGGGAGCTGAGATCCACGTGGGAGACTCCTTGGTTGGACACGGCAAATTCAACCCCCTGTGAGTCCCAGTTTTTCCACCTCACCTTACCCTCTGAAACATAGGTGTCATAGGCTGTGCTTGTTCCCCTTTGGAAGAGATTTTACATTATCTTCTGCTTCCTTCAGCAGTTCAGCAGTGGAACTCTCTGCCCCGAAGTGTGGTGGAGGCTCCTTCTTTGGAAGCTTCTAAACAGAGGCTGGATGGCCATCTGTCAGGGGTGATTTGAATGCAATATTCCTGCTTCTTGGCAGAATGGGGTTGGACTGGATGATGGCCCAGGAGGTCTCTTCCAACTCTTTGATTCTATGATTCTATGATTCCTCTGAAATATAGCCTTCAGCACCTGGGATTCCTTGGTAGACTTTCTGGGTCTGAGAGGTTCTTCTCTTTTGACTGCCACTCTCAGTATTGCTGTCCAATAGGCTTGGGTAACAACGGAAAAATTTGGTTCTAAACTCGTTTCGTTTGTAGGGGGTGATGGTGTTTCGGGTTTTTTTGGACTTCTGAAATTGTCCTTTTCAAAATTTCGAAATTTACGAAATTTCGTAAATTTCGAATTGATTCATTAATGGCGGACGCGATTGCGCAATATGCTAAAAAACTTCCAAATGGGACAGGGGGAACTTCTGAAGCTTCCCTCTCCCTCTGTTGTTGACTGTTGGTGTGATAAAACAAACAACAACTATATTATATTATTATAATATTATTATAATTTTATTATATTATATTGTTGTATATTATATTATTATATATTATATATTATATATTATATATTATATTATTATATTATTATATTATTATATATTATATTATAATAATATTATTATATTCTATATTATTATATTATATATATTATATTATATTATTATAATATTATTATATTATATTATCGTATATTACATTATTATAATATATTGTATTATATATTATATATTATTATATTATATTACGAAAATAATTACGAAATAATTACGAAAATTGGAAAAATTGTTTCGATTCTTAATTACTCCTCACACTATTCCTGCATGGCTCAATATTGGATCGTAAGCTAATTTAAATACGAATTAATAACGAATTACAAAATTAACGAACGAAACCGCCCAAGCCTACTGTCCAATGCCTTTTTGAACTGTAACTCCCAGAATCTCGCAATCCAAGAAACACAGTCCAAAAAAAGGAATTCCATCCCCAAGCTCAGAAGGATTTCTAAACAAACCCAGGGGATGTAGACACTTTTTCAGAGGAAGAAATATCAATAACCACTTCTGAGGATTCCTGGCCTAAGTGTTATGAATAACTTTCCCACATTGGAAAAGAATATCCCACTTCTGACACCAATTATGTCATGAATGACTCTTCAATAACTTTGAAGCATAGGTTCTTTTTATTGCAATTTCCAGTGTGAGAAGATATATCAGATTACAGAAAAACATTTAGACAAAGAATGACGTTGGACAGACAGACATACAGGTTCTGTGCAACTACATTGGATTTACAATTACATTGGTTAACAAACAAACAAAGGGGAATTACGTTTTCACTCAACATTCACACACATGTACACGCATTCATCCACAGGCATCCAAATATTACCATATCCTTTTCTCCCTCTTTGGAGAAGCACCTCTTAGGCCAGACCCTGCTTTCCTGCAGCCCTTCCAACACATAGTTCCATAACGCCAAAACTTCAAAATGCCAAAATGCCAAAACTTCTTTCCCTAAGCACAATGCCAAGGACCAGGTCTCTGTTTCCCATACAGCAGAACCTGACTCCCTGCACAAAATCCAAGACTCCAAAGGCGCACTTCTTCCTCTTCCCTTGAGAAAGAAGCCCCAAAGTGACCAGACTGCTTCCGTGCAGATCTGCCACTATCCGAATACACCATCTCTCTCCTTCCCATGGAGCAGAACATGGCGGGTGAACCAGACTCCTCAGGTCTGCCACACTTTGAACATTATTAGACTGAGTCTTTTATAGGAATATTCTGTTGATGTAGTCCCAAAGTTATAAATGAATGATAGACGTCTTCCATCCTGGCTCCATCTCACTTTCCTGGCCAGATCATAGAATCATAGAGTTGGAAGAGACCTCCTGGGCCATCCAGTCCAACCTGATTCTGCCAAGAAGCAGGAGTATTGCATTCAAATCACCTCTGACAGATGGCCATCCAGTCTCTGTTTAAAAGCTTCCAAAGAAGGAGCCTCCACCACACTCCTGGGCAGAGAGTTCCACTGCTGAACAGCTCTCACAGTCAGGAAGTTCCTCATGTTCAGATGGAATCTCCTCTCTTGTAGTTTGAAGCCATTGTTCCGCGTCCTAGTCTCCAGGGAAGCAGAAAGCAAGCTTGCTCCCTCCTCCCTGTGGCTTCCTCTCACATATTTATACATGGCTATCATATCTCCTCTCAGCCTTCTCTTCTTCAGGCTAAACATGCCCAGCTCCTTAAGCCGCTCCTCATAGGGCTTGTTCTCCAGACCCTTGATCATTTGAGTTGCCCTCCTCTGGACACTTTCCAGTTTGTCAATATCTCTCTTCAATTGCTCCGCTGTGTCCTATTTGCCTTCTTTCCTCTCTCCGCAGCTGTGAGACCATCCAAGAAACCAGTCTCGGGGCCATCAGCACCATCCGTTGCCAGGGGCTCCCAGGGCGCTATGTCAGCATCCATATCCCCGTTCGGCGTGAATACCTGACGCTGTGCGAAGTGGAAGTCTATGCGATGAAACCAGAGTGCCTCTGACCACCACCTTCACACGTGGGGGGCTGGGACAGGGGGGTGTCTGATTCCCTCTTTGGATGGACAGCCTGAGAGTGTGTCGGGCAGGTTATTCATCCAAACACCTCTCATCTGCAAGCCTTATCTCCCTTTCAGCAAACGGCGAGAGGAGACCCCACATCCAAAATCAAATCATGCCTTCTTGCAACTTCTCTCCCCCCCCCCCACTTTGTATGCCAACTCCTTCCAGAATGTAATAGATCTTTTCTTGCCTCTTTTTCCTAAGTACTGTGTCGAAGAAAACTGCCTCTCATAAAGTCTCGCAAAGCGCCTGCAAAGCGCTTTTAGCTTACTGCAGCTGCTGTGTGTAACTCCTCCCAAGCTGTGCATTGCTTATCTTTGACCATTCCTCCCTCACACACACACACACACACACACACACACACACACACACACACTTTTATGCTTATTTTCTGAATTGTGCAATTGTGAGAATTCAGAATCTTGCAAGGCTTAGATTCGTCTCTATGGGTTGAGTTTGCAGTTCCAAAGTTAATGCTTCCACATTTTCACAATATACACAAGCACTTAAAATATTAATACAAAAATTAAATACATTTTTGCAATGAGAAGCCTTTTCCTGTTATGTGTACTTTAACGTGCAAGGGTGTGTGTGTGTGTGTTTTTGATTGTGTGTTTTCCTTATTAAACAATGGGCTGTAGGTTTTTTGGGCTATATGGCCATGCTCTAGAAGCATTCTCTCCTGATGTTGGCAAGCTTGCCATAGACGTCAGGAGAGAATGCTTCTAGTACATGGCCATATAGCCCGAAAAACCTACAACAACCCAGCCATGGAAGACTTTAACAATACTTATTAAACAATGTTGTGCCTTATCTTTTTCCCTGTGGAAATTCATTTTGTCAGGTTTTTTTTTTCTGGAAGAAATTCACTGCACAACTCTTAGCATCACAATCTCCCAAAACTGGAGTTTAACAGCCAATTACTTACACATAGTGTAAGACTGTAGGATCTATATAGCAATATTAAATGACCACTCACAAGCCGGTTTTGCTTTGAAATGGATATATTGCTTGTATCTCCGTAGCAAAGAAAGACACTACTGACTTTTTCCCACCACCACTTCCTTTTATACACCTTTCCTGCCCACCTCCCCCCTCTTCTCAGTCTCCTTATTAGAACTGGTTGCTTCACAAGTTCCCATACACGATTTCCAGCACCCTCTGCTGACTTCAAAATGTCACAGAGAGAGAATTGATTCAGCCAGGAGGATTTAGTCAGGATGTCACAGAGGGAATTTGTGATGTCTTCATGCCGTCAGAAATTGACTCCTGCCACATAGTTCATAATAAGCACTGTCCCTACAAATGTTAATTAAGAAATAAAGATGAATATTGGAATTACAAGCCCTTTCCTCTTGTGTTTATTATGCACGGGATGTGTGTACGTTTGAATAGCAAACCTTGCTTAGGGCTGCAAGGTGATGAAAGGTATGGAACTTTAGCAGAAAGGGCTAAACAGAATGAAAACTATTAATCAGGATGGGAAATCTCTGTCAGTGTCTGGTATTACCTGCAAAACTGTGTAGGTGTGTGATTTTTTAAAAAGCAAACAAACAGGGCAAAATGGAAAGTTTTGCTCTACAAAAGTAGAATTGTAAGTAGTTTGGGAATGTGGAAGTCCCCAAATGTCCTCATCCTGAACTTGCTGCAGCAGCATTTGACACTTACTGCAACACTTCAGCACACTTAGACACACTCAGGAAGTGCTTCCTGCTGCCTAAAAATGGGAGTCTCACATTTATTGAAAAGCACTTGTCCTTGTTAATGACTAGTGAGTTAAGGGAACTTTAATTAGATTCTGTAAGAGCCGTCTCAGACCCACCTGCGAGTGAGTGATTAGCACCATATCATCAGCATAGAGAAGGACATTAAGATTTGCTTTTGCTTATCTTGGGCAAATGGGCCATTGGTGAGGAGAGGAAACCTTGGGATGTTATTAACGTACAAATTGAATAAAGTGGGAGCCAAGACACACCCCTGCCTCACTCCTTAAACCACATTGATTTTCTTAGACAGAGCACCATTGGCTCCAATGTGCACTTTAAGGCAGGTATCCATATGGAGTACCTTGAGCAGATAAAAGAGTCTTGGTTCCATGTTCAATTCCACCAGTTTTCTCCAGAGGGTATCTCTGTTGATTGTATCAAATACTGCTCTAAGGTTGGGCCTGGTTCTGTTCTTCATCAGTGACTTAGATGAAGGTAAGAAGGCAGGATTATCAAGTTTGCAGATGGGACCAAATTGAGAGAGAGAGCCAAGACTCCAGAAGACGCAATATTCCAGGTGTGGTCTAACCAAGGCGGAATAGAGCATGGGGAGCATGACTTCCTGGATCTAGACACTAGGCTCCTATTGATGCAGGCCAAAATCCCATTGGCTTTTTTTGCCGCCACATCACATTGTTGTCTTATGTTTAACTTGTTGTCCATGAGGACTCCAAGATCTTTTTCACACGTCCCTCATTACGTATCTTTGCATTTCCTTTTTTTCCTGCCTAAGTGGAGTCTCTTGCATTTGTTACTGTTGAACTTCATTTTGTTAGTTTTGGCCCGTCATCTCTCTAATCTGTGAAGATCATTTTGAATTCTGCTCCTGTCTTCTGGAGTATTGGCAATTCCTCCCAATTTGGTGTCATCTGCAAACTTGATGATCCTGCCTTCTAACCCTTAGTCTAAGTCATTAAGAAAGAGCCTGAGCAGGACCAGGATCAGGAGGGAATCCTACTGGTGGCACTCCACTCATCACTTCTTTCCAAGATGAAGAGGAAGCCTTGGGGAGAATCACCCTCTGGGTTTGTCCGCTCAACCAATTACAGATCCACCTCACCATAGTGTTGCCTAACCCACATTACACTTCCAGGAGGAATCTTGTGTCAGATAGATAATGCTTTGTTAGACTGGAATACATTGGCTGTATTCCTATTGAGTAACACTGGTGGAAAATACAGTTCTAATGGACATGTGGTCACACACACCTGCTGAATGATTAAGTGGGTGGTGAATCATGACCACGTAGCAGTCATGATGAGGGTGGCATCATTCACTTTTGTCCCTGGCTAATTTATTTTATTTATCGTGTCAGGAGCAAACCAAACAGTTGTATTGCATTTTTAACAAACAAAACACAAAGTTTGCAAGCTTGGTAGTTAATTAAATGTCCTTTGACCAGTAGCTGGCCACTTGGAGTGCCTCTGGTGTTGCTGCAAGAAGGTCCTTCATGGTGCATGTAGCAGGGCTCAGGTTGCATTGCAGCAGGTGGTCTGTAGTTTGCTCTTCTCCACACTCGCATGTCATGGATTCCACTTTGTAGCCACATTTCTTAAGGTTGGTTCTTAAGGGGGACATGAGAGAAGCCTCCTTGCAAGATTGCAAGACATCCGGGCGTCCCCTGGGCAACGTCTTTGTAGACGGCTGATTCTCTCACTCCAGAAGCGACCTTGGCTGATGACGAGTAAGCAGTGGGTAGAAAAAGAGGGAACTGTGTGCTCTTTCTCTTACTGAACTCTCTTCCTGAATGTTTTGCTGCTTTTTCCTGCCATATTGTTACTTATATCTGTTTTACTCACACCTGTGAGTATATTGTTGTATGTACCATTGATCGATAGGAGATCAGGGGATCCTGATCTGTGTGTGTATTTAGCACATAGAGCAAGAAGTCAAGATTAAAAGCCTCCTGTGGGTTTGAAGGAAAGTTGACTCAGAGTTTTCCTAAACTGTGAGCAAGGTCAGATGGTGCAGTTATACTCTGCTGTGTATGGGTTCATTTTTGCAGCTTGCCTTTGAAACATTCAGTTCATTGTACAGCGATCCAAAGAGGACATGTTTGGAAAACTATAACTCATGATCTATCCCACCACGACATTCTATTCCCTCTGAAATCACTTCTCCCAGTTCTTTTAATACCCTTGGATGTCTCACACTTGGCCCTGAGGACTTGAATTCGTTTAGATTAGCCAGATATCCCTGACCTGCCCCTTAACCTACATTGTGCTGTGTTTCCCCAACTGTATTATCTGCTCTGTACTTCCCAAATTGAGCACAGCTGACTTGTTTTAGAGAAGACAGAGGTAATGAAAGTGTTGAGTAGTTCTGCCTTTTTGTCATGTATCATGTTCTGCAGTTGATGGTGGTTGGTGGTGGTAGGCCTAGCAGTTGGTGATGGAAGGGTTAGTGTAAGTCTTAGTTCAAAAGGGTTGAGTAATCTGTAAGTAAGAGTTCATGGGTGAAAGCAATTAAGGGTGGAGGTATGCAAGAGATGGGTTGCAGCTGGGTGTTTCTGGATATAATGAGCTAACCTTGGAGACTGATTTTTGGGAGAAAAGTATTTGTTTTATTTTGGTGGTAGATGCTGCTGGTTTTCCCCCAGGTCTGTGGATTTACAGTATCCTGACCTGTCTCCTGAACCTTTGGAATCCTGAAACCATGAATCTCTAGACTGGCTTTTGACTACGGTGTAGAATCTTGATCCCTGGACTTTGCTTATTGAACTCTTGGTGTTTGACCACAGGACTTGACCTCTTGACTACGGTGTTATCTTGAACCTGCAACAGTGTTTGCTTACCGTTTTGTTTTATATTGTGTGGATAAATGCTACCTTTATGTTTTATGTTTTGGACTATTAAAACAGCCAGCAAGTAAGTGCTATTTTAATTAAACTGTTTGATAAAACTGGGAGTTTGGTTCATTTCTACCTAAATCAGGCAGAGCCCTAACAACGTGACAGAATACTTTTCTCTCGCACGGAACCAATCTCACCCAGTTCTGCTTGTGTTTGTTTTGGGAGACTTGCAAGACAAAACGTTTTGGAAGTGTAATCCAGATGATGAGATGCAGGAAAAACTGCAAAGTGTACTTGATGCTTTGAATAAAAATAGAAGCTAGGCTGGAAAAGCTCCAAGATTCCAACAAGAATCAAGAAGTAGAATCATAGAAT